GAAGTGCTGATAATATCACGGTCGTTGTTGTTCGGTTTTTGGCGAATCGAGGGGAATCTTCTTGTACTACTAGTATTAATACTAATACTAATAGTAGCTCTGGTTGAAAGAATATTCCTCAATGCCTTCTTCTCTTCTTCGTGGAGAAAGGTCAGAAAAGAAAGCCAGTACAGAAGTTGGGTGCTTTTATTTTATTTATTACAATGTAGAGAAACAAACATCTTGTGTTAATTAATGTAATTTAAGAAGTATTTTAATGTTTATTTCCATGCAGACGAGGTTTAATATGTAAATTTTAGTATTCAACTTAATGGATATAACTTATGAGTTGTTGGTACAGGTGATTTTTACAGTAGTTCTTTACTTTTTTTTTTATTAATTAATTCTTTAATATTTTCAAGGTAAAAAATCCTTGCTATTTGGGTAATTACAACTACTCCTTTATCTTTTTTCAAATCCACCTTTGTATTCAACAAAAATCTTTTATATTCCGTGAAATGTTCTCTACTGTGTACTCGTTTTTTGCAAAATGTAATTTTGGATGCACTACAATCTGATTTTTACAGGTATGATCATCTTGTTTCAAGATGTGGAACTCGAATAGGGTAAAATGGGTATAAATTGGAGAATATACCACATAATCTCGAAAATTCCAGTAAATTTAACACAAGGGTGGACGTGTAAGAAAATTCATAGTTGAGAGGGGGCGATTGTAATTAACCAAACATGAATAATTTTTTCGTAATTTAACCTTACCTCAGGGGTGGCCGTAATTTACATTTATTTTTAATAGACTCCAAAATTTTATGTATAAAAAGTTTATAAGATGTTATAAGTAGATCTTTTACCACTAGACTGAAGGTCAAATTTATGCTACACTCAGTGATTCAATATGACATCGAATAAAGATCCATTCGTTCATCTAAACACCAGCACGGAATAAACGGACACAAAAATACGCAGCAAAACCGATTCTCACGATTTACTATCCCGATAATAATATTTCCCAATAAAATCGACAATCATAATCTCTCCGACTTAGAGGATCCAAAATATTCAAGAAAACATAGGAAAAGCAAAAACAAGCAAGAAGAAAAAAATACATCGAAAACGAGATCAAATCCACAATAAAATGATCAAACTGGTAGGCACAACATGATATATAACTAGTTCATTGCGAATCCCAATAAGCATAAAAGTAGCTGCGCTTACAGATTAATACCACCACCCCTTAGAGCAAGGACCAGATGAAGAACAGAGCCACCTTCGATGTTGTAGTCTTTGGCAGTCTTGTCGTCTGCAAGCTGTTTGCCCGCATAAATAAGCCTGCGATAAAAAAAATTAAAAAAAATTCCACGTCATCAATCTTGAAATTTCCGGGACTAGCAAATATAGATTACCCACGCAACATTTTTTTTCTTGCCCATTGACAAGTTTATGAAGAAACGATATAAAACAACTATGGAAACTGTACTTCATCAAATTCACGTCTTTTCTTTTTGGTTTTCTTATCAATTTACAAAGAGATGTGAAATGTAGAGGGCCGAGAGAGATGACAAAAAAAGGATAGTTACTGAGTCGACCAGGACCTACATAAAACTCGGTTAAATCAAGAAAACTTCTGATCCCCCAATTAAAATGTTAAAATGGATGGAACTAAATGGAAGTCTAGATATCATCAAACAAATGCATCCTTCACATTAATAATTGAAAGTAGGTAACAACTAAGCAAATCGGGAGTTCAAGAAATCAGATAATTTGATGCAAGAAATAAGGTCCAAAAAAACATATCACAAAGTACAACCTTTGCTGCACAGGAGGGATTCCTTCTTTCTCCTCAACACGCTCCTTAATCCGATCAATGGTATCGTTCGGCTCAATATCGATTTCAATTTCTTTTCCTGTAAGGGTTTTGACCTTGATCATTGTTCCACCCCTCAGCCTCAAAACGAGGTGAAGGGTCGATTCTTTTTGGATATTGTAATCTGCCAAAGTTCTGCCATCTTCTAACTGTTTACCAGCAAATATCAGCCTCTGCTGGTCAGGAGGTATTCCTTCTTTGTCCTGAAAAAACACCGTAATTTCATATTAGTTAAAAAAAAAAAAATAAGATTACTCAAGACGAGAATCGGAAAGAACGAAGAAAAAAAAACTAATAAGTTAAACATCCTAAAACTAAAATCTTCGTTGCAAAGGCCCAAAAAGCAAGAGGATGTATTTTTAAAATAAATATAATTATCAACTATCGATTTGCAATTGTTCATTAAATCATTTAAAGAATGGTATCGAAACATGTTTTCTAATCTCTCAAAAAGTACAACGGATACGTTAAGAAGTGGAAGCGTAACATAGGTTCTTCGAGATGGATCGAGTTCGATAATCAGAACATCAACTAATAATTAATAACAAGCTGGATTTCATGCCAAGTCATTGAGAGAAAATGGTAGAAGAAGACCTTCATAATAAAATAACCAGGTAATATAAAATTGAAAGAAGAACTTGAAACAAGCTTAGATGCCACAGAATCTCAATTTCAAAAATTAAAAAAATATATAAAAAAATAAATTGAACAATCACACAGCTACTTCATCGCAAGAAATCCAATAAAAATCCAAAACCCTAGCTCGGTTAATAACCACAATCCATGAAAGAATAATCCGAAAACTCACAAAATGACACCCACAAAAAGAGAACGATAATCAAATCAGCAAAATTAGGGCACGGAAAACAAAAATCGGGGAAGAAATTGGACCTGAATCTTGGCCTTGACATTGTCAATGGTGTCGCTGCTCTCCACCTCTAGGGTAATGGTTTTTCCGGTGAGGGTTTTCACGAAGATCTGCATCTTTTTCCGCGTGATTTCTACGTAACTCTTTCTCTCTCTTCTCTCTTCTCTCTCTCTCTCTAAAATTTCTTGGCTCGAAAGTGGCGCTATTTATTCTTGGAAAATTGTGGATTATTATAAGGGCTTTTCGTCCTTTGAATTTGTATTTTTTTAATTTTTTATTTTTTATTTTTTATTTTTAATAGAGATTCATTATAAGAAAATAGTGTTCTACTAAGTTGTTTTAGCAGCTGATAAGTTGTTACGTTCTATTTTTGTAATTAATTTTTAAAGTTTTTGAATAGTGTTCTTATAATCTATTATTACTCATTATAAGATTTTAGATAAAAATGTCGGTAGATATTAGAAGTAGTTTTAAAAATCGATTTTTTTTTCTCTTCAGTAACTTGTTTTTTGAATTTTTAAGATCTTTTTTTAAGAAAATTATCGAATACTTTGGTAAAACTTATAAGCTCATTTTAACAACTCATAAATTTAGTCAAACACCAGGTAGTTAAATTGTAATTTTAGTCTATTATGTTTGATCTATTTAGGAATGTAGTCGTGCAAATTCTTCTGTTTCAATTCTACATGAAATAACTTTGCAAATTTCGCAATTTTTGTTCGATTTTGCTTAATTTTTATTTGATTTTGCTAATGAACTCACAAAAATTTACTTATATATTAGCTTAAATATTATAAATGCTCATCTAACTTGATTTATACACGCGTCATCTCATCTAATCAAAATTGTAACATCACTAAGTTAGATCACGAACTAAGAAAAAAAAAATATATATATATATATATATATATATATATATATATATATATATATATAAGCAAAAATTGTCAAATTTTTGTTTTGGGTCTTAAAATAAATAAATAAAAACCCATGTGTTTTAATCGACTTATAATTTTGTAGCAATTATGTATTTATTTTCTTGAACGACTATAGATAAAAAGCTTGAATTGTTTGGATTAAAATTACAAACATGTAGAGAATAGTATTTTTATTGACTATTATATAAAAAATTGTATCAAAACAAAAGATAGTATAAAATAAAATAAAAGTATTGGATGCAGTAGTATCTTATTCTGGTGATGAATATTGGAAAAAGTATTCTGCACTTGTATATTCTTATGTCAATGGGGGAGAAGAATTCATCAAGAATATTTCAAAAAGATATAATTTATTATTTTTTTATTTAGTTTTATAAGTACTTCAGCCATTTGAAGCATCTCATACGTATAATATAGCAATGACAAATCTAAATAAAAAATAAAAAATAAATAGAAATTAATGAAAGAAAAATAAAATAAGTTTCATTGGAATATTTAGATTGGTAAAATATGTTATTCATTTATTCTTAGCATTGTCAATTTAATAACTTTATTGTGTCATTTTAATATGTACAATAATTTATGTAGCACGGACGCAGAAACGGCGGATACATGAGCTATAACTTGCAAATTACGCGACATATTTATGCTCTATTGCTCTTCAATTTTTGTTATCAAATAACAAATAAAAAATCTCGTATGTTCTGCATTAACGTGTCGAATTGTTCACTCGGGGGTTATCCATTATACAAAGTCGACGAGATTGTACGAAGAACAAAGGAACACACATCCAAATAAAATCGATGAGTAAAAACGAGACATCGATCAAAAACCACCATAGTGATTATAGACTCCTACGGAGTTGTATATATACAACACAAATATTTCTTATGCCGAGAAAAAAAAAAAAAAAAAAAAAGAATCTTGCCACTAAGTTATACGAGCAAAATTCAATAAGTCGGGACAACGCCATAGGAGGATGCATCGGTTTCCCGTTTGGCAAACCTACCTTTGACTCTCGGTCTGGTCTCCGCATACGCCTTTCTCGAGGCGTACCTTATGGTTTTCTCGAACTTTCTATTCTTCCTCTTCTCTTTGTACCTCATCACTCTCGCCTCTCTGTCGACGCCCGAGAGTCGAACGGGTAATTCTTCCTTCTGGGTGTTGGATATATCGACCGTGGTGCTGTCGTCCGGCACCACTCCCACGTCCATAGATGAACAAGATACCTGTGTTTTCATCGGTGACGGAGCCAACATTTAGTATAAGGATAGGTTAAAAGTAGTTCTTCAGAAAAAAATACGTTTGGTCTTTCATATTTCAATAATTTAACAAAAAATTTACCGGTTAGTCTATCGGTTAAGGTAGTGACGGATACATGCTTGATTCCGTTATGTACTGACGGAAAATTGACGGGAAGGACAAAAAATGTTGAATTTTTGAAACATGAGTGACTAAATCTATAATTCGAGAACGAGGAGCTAATGTGCAATTGAGGTAAAATTAAGGGGTAAAATTGTAATTTTCGCTATAAGTATCTATGCTAAATACAATTAAACAATTTATTAAACTCATTTAAAAAGTAATTTATTCCAACTTTTTCGGCCTTTTTTTTATTTAATCAATAAATAATAAAAATAATGGAATTTAATCAAGAAATTAATGATGAAGAACATACGGTTTGGGTGATGGATTGTGAGGTGAAGTTGTACATGAAAGGCTTAGCCGCCGCCGCCGGATAATCCAAATCATAAGTCGGAAACCCGTCGACAGCCGGACCCGGATACCGACCCGACCCGTATTCGTTCTCTTTCTGCACCGGCACAACTCCGTCGGAGCAATACTGCTTCTGCTGATCATCGTCGTTAACCATGGCACGGCTGATCATCAGCTTCTGCTGCCCGGATCCAAGATCAAGATCCAGATACGGATCCATCTCGTTAAACAAATACCCCGCGGATTTGTATTCGGGCAGCCCGGATTCGTCGTCCGGTTTGCTATTCGGGTCGGGTAGTAGCCAGGAGGCGGCCTCCGCTTCCTCATCCGAGCACTCTCCGGCGGCGGCGGCGGCGCGGGTGGAGGATTTTTTGACAGATACGTCGGCGGCGTCGTAGAAGGGTACGATGGGGATCCGCTCGTGCCGGAGGGCGAGGGGGTTCGCGGAGTGTATGTCGCGGTCGCACGTGGGGCAGAGTGCGGCGGCGTCGGCTTTGCAGGTGACGGCGGCGGGCGCCTGCTCGCACACCTCGCAAACCCAGACGCGCGCGTGGCGCGAGTCGGCGGCGTGGGCGTCCGCGTCGCAGGCTGCGCAGAGGAAGGCGGAGTCCGCGCGGCAGAAGACGGTGGCCGCCGCCGCTTTGCAGGTGTCGCACGGCTTCGCCGTTAAGCTCCAGCTCTGACCGCCCATTTTCTCAATCCTCTATTTTTAAATTAGTCTTTTGCTTTGGTAGAGAGAGAATCAACAATGGTGATCGTTTTCGAATTTGGTTGCTATGAGAAAAACACACACAGTGAAGTGTGAATACAGTGAAGCATAAAGCAAGTATACATACACTTTACGAATTCGGACAAGAAAGCCAACTATCGAGAAAGGGATATATTGAACAGCTAATCATGAAAGCACACGTGGCCGAATTTTAGCCAGATAAATAAAGAAGAAAAGTCATGATCCTTTTGTTGTAATTTTTTTTATTCTTTATTATATTTTAATGTATAAATAACATTATTATTTCACATTTTTATTGAAAAAAACTCAATTACAATGATTGGAATTACTCAGCTATTCATTCATTCGAATATCGAGTAGGTTCCGTATTTGTACAAGAATTTGCAAATTATACGAAAAATTGAAACTATACTAATTTTTTTTTTCTTTTCATAACAACAATACTAAATTGATTTGCTATAAGGAGAGTTATGGCATTATTGAACTAGGGTACCCCACTATAGGTTGGGGTTTGGGACAAGTTGGCCTTGTTAAGGGAATATTTGGAAATGCTTTGGTAAAGAATGGGCCTTTGTGTTCAACGCTACATAGCTCGGACACGGAAATAGTGATACGGGAAAACGGAGAAACAGACACGAGAAAACGGCATATCCTGAAAATGTAATACATAAATTTTGGGAAAAATATGTAAATATTAAAATCATAAGGGCATATTTATAAATATGCTATATAAACATATACAAGTTTTTGATTATATACAAATTATTTTTATATATTTTCATACAATACTATCAACTATCCATTTGCATTTGATAATTAAATCGTGTAGCTAATTAGAGAAACAACAAAAATATTAGAAATTTGCTATTTAAACAGGTTTAAAACTTTTTAGAAATTTCAAAATGACTCATAAGGTGTCTGCCGTATGTCATCAAGTGTCCGACACAAAACGGTGTCTAAAACGTGAAATCGTCAAGAAGTTGAAGTTTTCATGCTACATAGGTTCAAAGTGTTGGTCCAATAATCAATTATTAAAATTTTGAGTTTATTTTGAGAAAAATATTTTCAACTAATGTAATCATAATATACGGGTAAATTACAATTACCCCTAAGGTATGGTCAAATTACAAAAACCGCCTCATGTTAGTATAATTACATCTATCAATCAACTATGAATCTTCTTACACATCCCCCTTATGGTGTCAAATTCAACATAATCATCTAGATTTCCTAGAATGTGATCTAGTTTGTACTCGTTTTGTGTAAAAATGCAGTTTATGATGCACCACAATCTGATATATACAATCCAAAAAACACATCTTATGATCATATTGCTTCAAAATGTGGAGTTCGAATGCGGTAAAACATGTACAAAAGTGATAATATTCCATTAATCAAGAAGATTCCACTGAATTTGAAACGACAAGGGTAGACGTGTAAAAAAATTTATAGTCGAGGGTGGTTATAATAACCCAAACAGGAGGGATTTTTTCATAATTTGACCGAGGTACCTCAGTGGTGGTTGTAATTTACCCGATAATATATTTACAACTGGGATAATTGTGATAATCAAGAATAATGTAATCATAATAAATCCAATCCCATCAATATTTCAAAAACAAGGCCTTAAGTTATTATAAATATTACTTGAGGGCTGAGGTTTATTTTACATTACAAATAGACCCCACTATGACTGTAGAATGCAATACAGAAGAAAAAACATGTCAACAGGACTATTTATCAGAGTAAACTGCAAATACTACCCCTGTGTTATCTCAAAATAGCGAAAACCCCCCTGTGATAAATAAACTAGCAAAAACCCCCCTGTGAAATTTAGTCAAAGGCAGAATCCCCCCTAGCTGATTTTTTAGACTTGAAATGACAAAATTGTCCCTCAAAATGTATTTATATATATACATATTATATGTATATTTATTATTTTTAATTTGTTTGTTTAGAAATTAAAAAAAAATAGTAAACAACTAAATTGATTATTTTTTAAATAAAATAATTAAAATATTTATAAAATATAAGAATTTATTAATTGCAAGACTCCAGGGGTATTTGTGTCTTTTTATATCAAGTCAACCTCAAATAGTTCCATAGGGGGGTTTTTGCTATTTAAATAATTTCACAGGGGAGGCTTTTGCTAGTTTATTTATCACATGGGGGTTTTTGCTATTTCGAGATTACACAGGGGTAGTTTTTGCAGTTTACTCCTATTTATCATCTACAAACTTAACTGGATTATTTTACAAAATAGAACAAACACATTTTTTTTTTAGTGTGTGG